CCACCCCCAGGTCCCTCCCTGCCGAGGGGTCTCTCTGGGAGCTGAAGAGCGTGGCAGGACTAGAGGAGGAGCCCTCGTGGCCAGGAGCGGGACGCTGTTCCTGGCCAAGAGCTCTGCCGTGGGCTGAGCCTCCAGATGAAACCAGCAGCGTAAGGTGGCTGATTTCAGCTGGGAGATCTCATGGAACATGAAAACTTGTTGTTACAGGGATAGAATCACAGAATCCCAGGATGGTTTGTGTGGGAAGGGACCTTAAAGCCCCCCCAGGGTCCCCCCCTGCCATGGGCAGGGACACCTCCCACTAGCCCAGGTTGCCCAAAGCCTCATCCAGCCTGGATTATAAGATCTTTATTGTCCGTGATCCCCGGGACCAGCAAAAGGCAGGATGATGCGGGGGATGCTCCCGTCCCCCGCCCTCGCCCCGCGCTGGGGCTGTACCTGCTGCCCCGCTGCGAGCGCGGGCTCCTCCGTGGGGTCTGAATGACGCGGGATCTCGAGAAAGCAAAGCAACGTGGAAACAAAGCCACTTCCCAACGCAGAGCAAAGCCCAGCGTGAGAGCGGGCAGGGAAGGGTGCTGGGTGCAGGTAGGCGACCACATCCGCGGGCGCTTGGCGAGGCCACGCTCCCCGAGAGGTGCTGGGAGGGTGGGGAGTGGGCTGGGGCAGAGCCTCAGACTTGGTTCCTGTTGTTTTTTCAAAAGCTGCTTTGATTAGCTGGGTTCCAGACCAAGTATCTGAATAGTTTTAGAAAACAAAGTATAACTTTTTTTTTTTTTTTTTTTTTTTAACCCAGCTCTGCAAGGGGAAAAAAAAAAAATAAGTCATGTTTTCTGGCAGCCCTGCCCCAGGGTCAGGGAGTGGCCGAGTTTATTGACCTTCGGAACATAATTGCCGACTTTCAGGTCCAAATAGCAGCCAGATCTCATCTAACCCTGGGTAACGTGAGCAGCCTGGACTTGCCCTTAGGAGACGTTCAGCTACGGGGGTTTCTGGCCCCAGTTCGGATTCGTGTCTGGGAACTGGGATGGTGGGTCCAGGCTGCCCACGGTCAGCGGGGAGAGGGGCTGGGACGGGGCGAGTTCGGAGCCTTGGGATGAGCAGGAGCAGGAGAGGGGAAGGCACAGCTGCAAGACCAGGGCTATAAACAGTCTTTTATGTTCGGGGTGCAAACACAAAGCAGCAGAAGGTGTTTCTGCCGAGCCAAACTCTGGGCTTTATGCGCCAGAGGTGTGGATGGGGTTTGGTCGGTGAGGAGGTGTTTCAGCATCCTCTCGGGTCCGTGGCTGTTCCAGCTTCATCGGTGAAGTTATTCTAGATACTGCTGATTAAATCTCTTTTTCTGCTTTTTTTTTTTTTTAAATAAAAGAATGTGTTTTAAACAAAGCATGTGCCAGGGACCTTGGCTTCCCCTCAATCTTCTTGAAGGCTGGAGTCTGTTAAAGCATCATCTGTACGTGCTGAAGATGCTCTGAGACTTATGTTGCGGAGTTGCTCAGATTGCCGAGCAGATGGGCTCCAACATGTCTGATTTTTGCCAGCCCTGGCCGTGTTTTGACAACAGTGCCGTATTTTTTTTGTGTTGTGGGATTTTTTTTAGTGGCATAAACACTCCTGGTTTCGCCACCAGTGCCTTTAAAAGGAAGGTGCTTTTCAAGCCCTCTCCTGAAAGGCAGTTCAAAGAGCCGCAACACCTGCGGTGTGAGCGCCGGATGGTTCGCACGGCTCCTGGTGCCAGCCCACCGGTGGCCGACGTCCCCCAGCTATTGGAGCCAGGAGATGCCTGGGACAAGCACCAGCTTTTCTGCTTCTCTCTGATGTGGTTCCTTGCAGCTACAATCCTTGTTCCTCGATGTGATGAGGCTTGCTCTCCCTTGTTCAGGTGTATCTTCCCCCCTCTTTTCCAGTGCGAAGGTGTTGTGAAGGAAATCAACATCACGCACCACGTGAAGGAAGGCTCCGAGAAAGCCGACCCCTCGCAGTTTGAGCTCCTGAAGGTGCTGGGACAGGGCTCGTTCGGCAAGGTGGGTTCCCTTCCTCCTCCGTGTCGCGCCAGATGAGTGGTTTGGATGACAAAAGGGACTGTCCCCAACAAAACCACTTCCCTGGTTCCCACCAGATCGTGAGGATCTGCCTGCTGAGCCCACTGAGCAATGGGGGCTTCTGACTTGACAGGCAGCTGTGATGCCCTCAGGATAAGGGCCAGCCCGTGATGTCCAGAGCTCCCCTCTATTTTTTCCGATGATCAGGAGAAAGGAGTAGCGTCCTGCCTGCGAATGCCAGTGTCACGGGGGGCAGACACCTCCCGCAGCTCCAGCTGGCTGCGAGCTGTCCGTGGGATTGAGGATTTGGGGGGACTCGAGCACGTTCCTCTCTTCTGAGCAGCGATGCTGCGTGCAGCTGGGTCTGGCCCCTGTTCACGGTCCAGTTTCCCTTCTGCGAAGGGGGAAGGAAGTAGCCTGTAACTCTGATCTGGGTCAGTGTGTAAATAACCCGGGTCTCTCACAGACCATCTGCTCACACGTTAAATCAACTCCCCGGCCATCAGTCACCAGTGGCGGCTCGTGCAGGGCTGGGTGCTGCCGCCGGGGCAGAGGCAGCGGTGGCTTTATGCAAAGGAAAGGTCATGTCTCTTGGAAGCTGCCTAAAATCAACCATAATACCTAAAAACAGCCTGGACATACCTGAGAGGCTGCCAGAAAGATGGAGCTAGGCTCATGAGTGAGGTCCAGCTGGATATAATGAAAAAATAATGAAATACAAGGATATTTAAGCACTGGAACAGGTTGCCCAGAGGTTGGGGAATCTCAGTCCTTGCACGTTTTCAAAACTTCATTGCACCAAGTGCTAAAAAAAAGCGATGTGATTCAGTGCTGACCCTGATCTGAACAGGAGCTTGCACCAGAAAGGTCCCTTCCAACGGAATGATTCTGTGATTCCAAGTACGTGGAATTGATGATTCCGAGGGATGGAGGTCAAATCCCAGAGGGGGTGAGAGGAGCCTACACACAGCCCTTTCCTGAAAGCCTCCTGGGGTTTCACGCGGAGAGCTTGAGGAACAATTTCCCAGCCCTGTGGCCAGCTGCTTGGCAGGGTTACGGGAGATTCAGGAGGCACCCAGCAGCTCCTCCGGCCGACATTCAGTGCTTGGCTAACGTGGCATTCTTCTGCCTCAGGTCTTCCTGGTGAGAAAAATAACACCGCCAGACAGCAACCACCTCTATGCCATGAAGGTGCTGAAGAAGGCGACGCTGAAAGGTAGGAGACCCCTCCTGCGACGCTCCTGTCCTCCACGTCTGAGAGCCCTGGGGAGGTGTCACAGCAGCCACGGCTGGCCGCAGGGTGGTAGAGAAGCATCTTCACCTCCGCCAAACAGCCTCGTTTTCCCTCCGTCTATAAAAGACCCTTGTTGCAGTGCTGGGGGTGGAAGAGGTCTGGCTGGTGCCATGGGGCCGGGGACAAGGCTGGCACCGGGTACGGCGTGCGGTCTGCAGGGTCTGAGCTGCTCCTCTCTCTCTCCAGTGCGTGATCGAGTAAGGACGAAGATCGAACGGGACATCCTGGCTGATGTAAACCATCCCTTTGTGGTGAAGCTCCACTACGGTGAGTGCGGAGCCAGTTGGGACACTGGGAGAGGGGCTGCAGGCTGGGACAGGCGCTGGCTCGCTTTGAAGCACAGTAAAGATGCTGCTGTGAGCAGGGAGAGGAGCACGAGGCTGCTGGGAGGATGCTGAGGGACTCTTGTGGTCCTGAACAGGCTTCTGGAGATAGCTGACATGGGGAAGAGGTCTGGAGCAGTCTGTGTCCCTCCATGGCTGGGCTGACTGGGAGCCTTCCCAGTCCCCTGAGCACAAATCCTTTCGGGAAGGGTCTTTGGTCCCACGGCCGCTCTAGCTGTTGATGGGAACTGAGCATAGACCAGGAGAAGGGGTTTAAACAGCAAATCCTTGGGATTAAAGCATTAAATTAGGAGAAACTGAGAAAGTGAAGTTAACTAGTCAAACCAGAGTTTGGCAGGATTAGTGCTTTGAGGAAGGAGAGGAGAGCTTCTTACCCTGGGAAGCAACCGGTGGCTCCTGGGGCAAACAGCCCCTTAGTGCAGCATCGCTGGCTGGAAGGGAACCAGCCCCCCCGAAATGGGGATTTTCTGCAGTGCCAGAGCGCTGCTGGTGAGCTCCCATTTCAGCATCCCGGCCAGGCTGCCTCATTTACCCCAAATAATCACCCCTACCTGTGTCTAACGTGGTAACCGCGCAGGGAATCCGCACAGCTGAGTCCGCTGGGATCGAAGGGATTAATGTAACACCGCAGAGCTTTTCCCCACCGGAGGGGTCTGATTCCTGCTCCGGCTTGTGTTTCAGCATTCCAGACGGAGGGGAAGCTGTACCTCATCTTGGATTTCCTCCGAGGAGGTGACCTTTTCACTCGGCTTTCCAAAGAGGTGGGTACGCTCCGGTATCTCGACTCTCGGTTCGATCGCCTGGAGAAGCGATTGAGCCTTGCAAAGGGAGAGGGGTGGAAAAACCTCCAACCTGCTGCTAGCCCAGAGCTGGCAACACGAGGGGGTGTCTCAGGAACCCCATCCTCCGGCAGAAAAGCAGCGGGATGGGAGGCAGGTCTCACCTCCTGCTGAGCATCGCGTTAAGAAGGAAAACGGGGGAGAACCGTGTTCTGCTGCGGCGTTGGCTGGTCGTGTCGCCTCGCTGGGACAGGGCAAGGGCAGGGAGGGGTACGAGAAGTTGTGCCAGGTGGAGGCAACTGGGAACAAAACCTGGCGAACGTAAAGGAAATGTTTTCTTATCTGCTGCTTAGCAACCCTGTTTGTTTTTTTGGTGTCGCTGCTTAATTGATACTTTAGGATGGCGAGCAAAGCCTGGGAAAAGGAGATAGGAAAGGGCAGGAGGGGGCAACACGGATGTGAAAGGTCTCACACGGGTGCAGCGGAGGTGGTCCCGCTGCCAGCATCGTAACCCCAGCGCCCGTCTGCTCCCTCTCCCTTCCCACAGGTCATGTTCACCGAGGAGGACGTGAAGTTCTACCTAGCAGAGCTGGCGCTGGGGCTCGACCATTTGCACAGCCTGGGGATCATATACAGAGACCTCAAACCAGAGAAGTGAGTGCGGTGCACCGGGGCAGGGAACCCAGTTCTTCGGTTCTGTCCCAAGTCAGCAAACGGCACCGCCTTCCTCCACAAAGGCTGAAATGAATCGTAGAATCATGGAATCCCAGAGGGGTTTGGGTGGGAAGGGACCTTGAAGACCATCGAGTCCCACGCCCTGCCATGGGCAGGGACACCTCCCACTAGCCCAGGTTGCCCAAAGCCTCATCCAGCCTGGGTTGCCCCAAGGCCAGCCCGATGGAAGGCGGTGGTGCCCATCGCCAGGGCTCTCGCTCCCCGGTTGTGCAGCTCCGGCCGGGAACGCAGTGTGTGTGCAGCCCAGGGCTGAGCAGCGATCCCCGGCAGGCTCCGGGCTCCGGCTGTAGGCGATGGAGAGCCTGTGGTGGGGAAAGGCACCAGGGTGTTCTTACCTGGGGGTGTGGGGGTCAGAGGTGGTGTCACCTGCGTGGGTCATTCCTTTGTTGTGAAGTTGAGGGCGTAGAGGGAAGGGAGCTGCTCTTTGTCCCACTCGTGTCGTGGTGATGGAGCTTAAAGCACTGGGATGAGGGACCCATAACCTTCTCCTCTGGATTTTGGGAGCAGCTCAGAGCAGCCGCTGCTGTGTGGGCTCGTTCTCACCAGCCCTTATTGCAGACAGTAATAATTTTTTTTTTTTTAATCCATGCTGTAGCATCCTGTTGGATGAAGAAGGGCACATCAAACTCACAGGTGAGGGACTCCACTAAAGCCTTGTGCTCCAGCGAGGTTGGTTCTTGCTTCTCTGATTCCTCTCTGCTCCGTGCGATTGCTGGGAGCACGCGGGTGCACGCTGACGGGTTTTGTCTGATGCAGATTTTGGCTTGAGCAAGGAGGCCATAGACCACGAGAAGAAAGCCTACTCCTTCTGCGGGACCGTGGAGTACATGGCGCCAGAGGTGGTGAATCGCCAGGGCCACTCCCACAGCGCTGACTGGTGGTCCTACGGGGTGTTAATGGTACGTACTGGGCTCACCCGCTGCCCCAGCTCTGGCACACCTGCAGAGGGACCTGATTCTGCGCCTCTCGCGGATGTGCTGCCCTGGGGATGTTCTCCGAGCTCCCCAAAAGGGCTCAGTACCGGGCTGTCCCGAGTGTTGCTGGGGGAGGCAGAGCTCCGGGGGCTGCTGTCCCAGGGAGCAATGGGGTGTGCGGGGTGCACAGCGTGGGGTGCGTGGGGGGTCCGTGTCGCCCCAGCGCTGGGTGCTGGTGTCTGTGCAGATCTGGTGCCACCATCTGGCGGTTGCTGAATCCAAGGGCTCCCACAGGAGCTTGAACACGTTCCTGCTGCAAACCTTGGGAGCCAAGCTCCTTCTGGAGAAAATCTGATGTCTGAGAAAATCTGGTGTCTGCGCTCTTTTTCTTTTTTTTTTTTTGAGCAAGGCTTTTGATCCCTTGCAAGCCCTTCGCTGGTGTTGGCGAGCTCCCAGCCGGAGGTGCAGCGGGGTCTGTGCATCCCTCAGGCTTGCTCACCCGTGACCACCCTTTCTTCTCCTTCCTTCCCAGTTTGAAATGCTCACCGGCTCGCTGCCCTTCCAGGGGAAGGATCGGAAGGAGACCATGACCCTCATCCTCAAGTAAGAGCAGTTTGTCTTTCGTGGATGTGTAGGAGGCGAGGTTCTGCTCTTGCTCTGAGCGTGGTGCAATCTGGGGGTTCTCGCAATGGCACGGCATTATTGGGCAAGCGGGTTCGTATCAGCAGTCGGTTTGAAGGGTGCAGGGTAAATGCCAGAGAGATGATTGTACTTTTGGGGGCGGAGGTGCTGCAGCTGGCTTGCGGGTTGACTTCTCCAGACCTGCAGCTGATTGCACAACTTCCTCCCCAGAGCAAAGCTGGGCATGCCGCAGTTCCTGAGCGCCGAAGCACAGAGCCTCCTGCGAGCTCTTTTCAAAAGGAATCCAGCCAACAGATTAGGTAAGGCATTTTTCTGGTTTCTGAATACACCTGATGCTGGGTCGGGGCCTCTGGCATCCTCGTGGGTCAGCAGCGTGTTCGCACTTGCGCTGGGTTGATGGGCTCGTGGCAGGACCGCCAGGCTCCCTGTAATTCCTGGCTGTGCCGCACACACCGCAGCCGTCGCTTTGTCGGGGCTCCCGATTTAATGCAGCATATTCCATGGGTGCATCTTTCAGGTTCTGGACCAGATGGGGCGGAAGAGATCAAGCGCCATCCTTTCTACTCTACCATCGACTGGAATGTGAGTATTTGAAATACCGGAGCAACCTTTCACACCACTCAGCACCCGTAACGCGGTTCTGTTCCTGCACGGTCGGGATGCTCGACCAGCTAGGGGAGAGCTCCCAGCCCAGGTTCCCATCTCTTCCAGTAATCCTTCCCAAAACTAAATTCCATGTGAATAGCTGTTTCATACCTGAGTTGCCCAAGATCTCACCTTGCTTGGAATTTACTCATCTCTCAGCAGTAGGGCGCGGGTTTTAATTGGGGTTTGGCACAACACCGACTGTCTCGCACAAAGCGGGAAGGACTCAGGGAAACATTTCTGGCAAGGAGATGCCCTGTTTTGTGCAGAGAAGCAGGGTGATAACCGAACCAGCATTTCCCAGTTGCTTCTGGCCAGCTCCCTACTGTACCACATCCTTTTGTTTCTTCCCTTTCTTCCCTGGTCTTTTGAAGATCAGCCTTCCCGTGCTTTCGAGGCACCCAGCAAGCTGCGAGGCTGAACCTCCAGCAGTGCTAGGAAAGCTTCTTCCAGATTTTTGCTTCAAAAAGCCATTTAAAAAGGCCACTTGTGGGAGTGCTGGGATACGAGTGTCCTCCTGGGGCATCTCCTCGGGCTGTCCCTGGAGAGATCTGGGTCAGAGGAGGTGGCAGAGCCTGGCAAGAGAAATATCTTCTGGATCCTGCTTGTGCCTATAGAAGACTTTTTCTTCTTGATTGAATATATGGTGGAACTTCTCCACCAACTGACTCAAAGCACCCGACCGGCCAAGAAATCCTCCCTCGGGCTGCTGAGCTGTAGCCAAACACGAAGCCGCGGAGCTGCTCCTAGTTTCATAAAATCTCTTCTTGGCCACTCATTCCTAGCAAGCCTTTGCACTCTTCGGAGCGCGGACGAGGCGCTGACCGGTGGGAGCACGCCCGAGCTGTCGTTGTTTTGCAGAAGCTGTACCGCAGGGAGATCAAACCGCCCTTCAAGCCCGCCGTGGGCCAGCCAGACGACACCTTTTATTTTGATGCAGAGTTTACGTCGCGTACGCCGAAAGGTTTGTATGAATTCCAGCAAAGCCAAAGTTTCCCGCGTGAAATGACACCGTACGGCTTCATACCGGTTTGCCA